TAGTGTATTTCACATTTTTGATAATGTCATTACTGAAGAACTATATATTCTAAAATTAAAATACACTTAAGCAGTCTGGAAAACAGTATGCTTATATCACCTTGCATTGTTTTATAAATACTTCAATAAATCTTAAATATTGGGTTTTACTACAAAATTACTTGAATTATTTTCATTTACAATGTCTAGAAGTGACCAGTCTTCTAAATCTAAAACTCGGAAGGAGTTGATAAAAACTTTGCAAGATCTAAAGGGATATCTTCCTCCTCATAAAAAGATCAAAGGCAAATCAAGTATCCTGGCAACTTTGAAATATGCAGTTAGGAGCATTAAGCAAATTAAAGGTAATTATATTAACCATTCATATTCCTATTCAGGAAATTAAAGCAATATCCAGAAACTACAACAGGAAGCAAGCCTATGATAAAAGAGAGACTGTGAACTTACAGTAATGCTTTTTTTATTATGATCTTGATATGATTGCTATACCTTTGTTTTAAAAACCTAAACATCAGTTCATATCAATATGCACTATAGAATAAAATAAAATTATATGATAAAAGTTCATATTAACCTATCATAATCCCTCACTGCCTATCTTACACACATATGTCTAATATAGACACATACATACTGACAGACCTGTCATATGAAAGTAGTGACAAGATTTTGAATGTGTGTTTCACAGTACTGTTTGATTAATAGAATAAGATAGGATTTATATAAGATTAATATGGATTCTATTTAAATGAATTTAATTTCAGGATCGATTTATATTAATTAGATTGATATATTCCTTAGCTGTTTTTTCCAACTTAAATATTTTCCTGAACTTAATGTATGAAAGTTGCATGAAATGCCTCCAAAATTATGATAGATCACCAACAGATGGCAGTATTGGCTTTTGAGAATCTCTGTATTCTTCAGTTTCTGTTCTTTCACTTTAGTTTGCGGGAGTTGCTATAAAAAAAGATTGAGCTGCTTATTCATAAAATGGAAGCAACATGGCATGATTAAATTTCAGACTGCTGAAGGTGTCACTTGAGTTGAAATCCATCACCAAATCCAGGTTGTTTTAAAGTGATGACTATTAAGATAAATACTATGTGTTTCTGGGTGAAAAATATAGAGATATAGAATTAGGAAGAACTGAATTGTATGATCAGTGTAGAGAATCTATGACTAATAAGCAATCAATAAGTTTCTCATGAGGAAGATTGATGAATTGGTTAAGGACAGCCTAAACAAAAGATTGTGTACCCTTATGAAAAGAGTATTTAAAAAGCTGCTTGAATTGTACACATTTTTTTCTGTAGCCAATAAAGAATATTATCAGTTGACGATGGTTAATGAAAGCTGTGGTCTTGATATATTATCCTGTTCCATGGAAGATGTTAAAAACATTACTTCAGAGTACACCATGAAAAATGCAGTAAGTATTCCCACCACAACAAATGTGCAAATTATCTTCTTCAACTCAAATACGGAATCTTAGCAGTTCTTTTTAATAGTTAAAAGCATCCATAGTATTTAAATTATTTCTATGTCTAGTACCAACATAACCCACATAAAGAAAAGCCATTGGGATTTTGGACAATCCAGGGAGATGCTGATTCCCACTGATAGTGAACCTTATGTTCACTGAGTCAATCTAATGTTTGTTACTTAATCTATTAATACATTTGCATAAAATTATAATGGGGGACAATCCATGTATGCTGCTTTGGGGGGGCGGGGAGAAGAGAGAGGAGGCTGAATAAAATAAGTGAAACGAATAAGCCATTCAAGAGTATTGGTTCCCATGATACCATGATGATTTTATATATAACAAAAATATAAACACATATATATGTTTGCACATGCACACCATTATATAAAAGACAGTTGCCTGAATTTGCATGTAGTTTACAGTTCTTTAGATCTTTTTGCTCTTCTTACTCAGCTTGATTCTGGAATTTTTTGCAAAATTTTGCGTACTTGCAAAAAAAAAAGCATGCCATAATTTGATTTAACATGATTTATTGGATAAAATCCAGTTATCTTGATTTTCCCCAATATAAACATGATATATGTCCGTAAAAAGGATCTTAATTTAATTCAGATATCTGGACTATCCAAATTTAATTCAGAATCCATATAGACCTGAAGCATACTGTTAATAGCTAGAAGTAAACCATAATAATACATTCATTTATTAATTTACTCATCCTCTTGTACCCAAATAATATGTTAATTTTGCCATATCTCATTAGTTTAGCATATTTGTAGCTCACAGCATTATTTACTATTATCACAGTTTATTTTCCTTTTATCAGCCTAAATGTGTTTCATTGAATATGTATCATGTTTTAGGATATGTTTGCTGTAGCTGTTTCTTTGGCTACTGGGAAAATTTTGTACATCTCTGATCAGGCTGCCTGTATCCTCCATTGTAAGAAAGATTTATTTAAAAATGCCAAATTTGTGGAGTTTCTGGCACCTCAGGATGTCAGTGTGTTCTATAGCTCAACTATACCATATAGATTGCCATCTTGGAGTATTTGCAATGGAGTTGGTAAGTCAGTTAAATTCTTCAGTTGTGCCTATGTTAATGTTTTACCCATACTTACTTGAGAAGTTTATATTTCTTTAAAGATCAGATAATTATAATTGTGTTTGCTCATGAACAATCTAGAACCTTAATTGTGTAGTTCTTTTTACTAATGCTAGCTCTTTTGATCTTTTCTGATTTTTTTTTCCTTATGATGAAACTACTTTTCTGGGCAAACTCTGATCACTGTTTCATTACTGTATTTTTAATGATGTGTCAGCTGGTGACAGCACCTGTCAAAGTGTAATAGACAAGAAGGTTGGGCGATGGCTGTGAAATCACAGGCATATCAGGGCTATAATCTAGATTAGGAGATGAAAAATATCCCAGAAGAAGGTAGTGCCAAATGAGTTCCACAGGAACAAATAATCTATATGCTTTTGTCCATAAATTTATTCTTTAGTCTTTTAATTCTAGGGTCCCCAACCCCTGGGCTGCAGCCTGGTGCCACACAAGTGGATACTGGGCCACACACAGCAGGAACCAGACTGCATAAACTGCGGGCAAGCAGGCAAGCACACGAATCTCCATTTGTGCAAGCAGGGCAAGTGATCCCACTGCTTGCACAAAACCATTCCTCAGACTGTCACCACCACCCCCGCTAATCCACAGAAACAAAAAGATTGGGGACTGCTATCTTAGTTAGAATGTTATGCAGTTATGTGTTCTGTGGCTAGCTTTAATTTTTCAGATTAAAGCAATTCTTCATATTATAACTCCAAGTTGTTCTTGCACACTCCTGTCAGAGTTTATGAGGGAAACTTTTAAAATCTTAAATTAGGAATTATTTGAAAATAGTAACCAATTTCAGTTTCCCAAGTGATAATACAGATAGTCCTCAACTTATAACAGTTCATTTAATGGCTGTTCAAAATTACAACAGCACTGAAAAAAGTGATTTATGACTGTTTTTCACATTTACAATCCATCCCCATGGTCATGTCAACAAAATTTGGATGCTTGGCATCTGGTTCATATTTATGACAGTTGCAGTGTCCCAGGTCATGTCAGAGCCAGTTTCACTTTACAGCCATGTTACTCACTTAACAACTATGGTGATTCATTTAATAACTGTGGCAAAAAGATCATAAAATAAGGCAAAATTCACTTAAATGATTCACGTAGCAAGAAAAATTTTGGGCTCCATTATGGTCACAAGTCATTGTGGTGAAATTTAAAAACTGATAATGATAAAACTATTCTATCTGCAAATGTTTCTTCATTGGGGAAAGTTTTCACAATATTGGGGTTGCTATATGGAAACATTTTCTTGATTTCCTTTGATTAAATGTGAATATATCAGTTGTAATGTAAAACTGAAAATACTTTGTCTTGTACTATATATTCTTTTGCCATGCATATGCCAGTCTAAAGAATCTTACCTTGTCTAACAGTGAACTGCTGTATAGAGCAGTGGTCGCCAACCAGTGGGCCGGGGACCACTGGTGGCCCACAAGAAAATTTTGGTGGTCCACAGAGAAATGTCACCCCCAAAGCAAATAATCCAGGCTGCGCAGGAACACAAGGCTGCTCCACCCACATGGCCCATGAGAACACAAGGCTTGCATCACTTGCATTCCGAACAACATGAGGTAGTGAGAGGAGGGGGGAAATGGCAGAGGGGGGGAACTTGTCCCACTCGCCGCACACACCTCGCCTGGCCACCTGGCTGCTTCTTTCAGCTTCTTCTGCTTTTCTTCTGCACTCAAGGAAAGCAGCAAAACTCTTTCTTTCTCTTCCCCAAACTTTGCCAGAAAGGAGTCTTTGGGACCCTGCAAGGCATCCTGCTCCAAGAGGCTGCACCGGCACGACAAGTCTCACAAAGACTCATTTCTGGTGGAGTTTGGGGGAGAGAAAGAAAGACTTCTGCTGCTTCTGCTACTTTCCTTGCATAAAGTCAAAAGTCTTTCTCTCTCTCTCTCTCTCTCTCTCTTTCCCCCTGAGAACGAAGCTGGAGACGGTATCCTGCGATCTCAAATAATGATCGATCGGTAGGAAAATGGGGTGGGGAATATCCCCAGGGTCTCTGCTGCTTTCTGCAGAGACCCTGGGAAAACGTCAGCAAGCCACTGTCAGTCAAAATTTATATTAGTGATCCGCGGGATTTAAAATTATGAGTTTGGTGGTCCCTGAGCTCCAAAAGGTTGGTGACCTCTGGTATAGAGTCCATTTTGACAGATAAAAAATAATTATGTCATTGGTAGATTTTAAAGTTTATAATAGGAGCCAAACATTTGCAAGTAATCTCTGTGATTGCTGTTAATCTGGAAAGGGGCTCATGCTTATTATAATTTCATTTTCAAATTTATTTGATTCTTTAGTAACTACATTTATTTTATACTTCTATCTTGTATGTTTGTATTTGCACTGCCAAGGCCATCTCATAGGTAGGAGACAGGGCATAGACATGCATACAACGACTATCCAAATGATTTGGAGACGCACTTCACAAAGCAATTGTAGCTTCCAGTCTAATTTGCTGTGTGAAATGGCAGGTGATACTTTGAAGGCTTAATCATTTCAATGATCTATTCACATTGTCTGTGTGTGCTTTGCTCTCAAAGCACAGCGTGTTTGGATGGGAACATTTGGGTTCTTCCTGAAGAATACCTCCAAAAGCTTTGCTATAAAAACATGTTTTTCATTCTGGTTGGTACAGACTTCTCCCAACCCTCATTTAGAATTGTTCTGCCAGCAATTCAGCATTGACATTGTGTTTTACCAGCATAACTAAATAGCTTCCTAATAACAAGGGGACACAGAGTTTTATGGCTTATCAAATGTTTTAAATATTTTTATAGATTCTGCTACCCAAGAGTTCATGGAAGAAAAATCTTTCTTCTGCCGCTTCAGGTAATACAAACTATGATAATCAATAGTCAGTATTTTGTGGGGGACTTGGACTCAGGCACACCCTTGTATTTTCTCATAGAAAAGTTGCTACTTTTCCCTGCAGCAATCCTTGCCTTTGATCTTCATGATTACTATTCAGAAGACATGAATGAAACATTCTAGTAAAAAATATAAAATTTCCTCATTTGAATGGAAAAAGTGATACATTCATTTCTGAAAATCCCCAAAACTATACTATATTTAATAATCTATAACAATATAACAACTGAACTATGTTTTTTATTCAAATTTTTAGTGCAGGAAAAGTGAATATAAATGAGAATCATTACCATCCATTTCGTATGACACCATATCTTATTAAAATACAAGATATAGAAGATCAGCTTTGTTGTGTATTGCTTGCAGAAAAGGTACACTCCGGTTATGAAGGTAATAATACTGTATTTTTCTTTTCAAAGCAAAAAAGACCTAGTATTTTATGAAAACTGCTCGTCTTTTGAGGAAGCTACCTTTGATAACATAGAGAGGTTCCAATGTGAAAAGCTATTATATTTTGTAAAAAAAGTTACTTAGAGGATAAGTAATGTCTGTTACTAATCATGTTTACTTGGAAGTAAATTATTAGCATTATTATGGTAATATAATGCCTATTTTTCCCATTCCTCCTGTTACAGTATATGTATACCTATTGAAAAATAGAGTTAATTGATTTTGACTGGATATATAAGTATGCATAGAATTGGTGGCCTTATTTCCATATTTTATTTATTTGTTCTTTTATACTTTATATACAGCTTCTCTGTCCATATGACATCTAAGGAGCTTACAATTTTATGTGTTTGTTTATGGTTAAATTATAATAAAAACAGGTATATCCTCTATTAAATTAACTCACTCTGAAAAGTTCTGGCTAAAGACAAAGGTCATTATTTTCCTAAAAGTGAATAGAAAGGAGCTGAGATTATTCCTGAGATGAGTATGTGTCCTAGCTGGGGAACAACATAAGAAACATGTTTCCTCTGTGGTAGACAATTTATTTGGTAATGGTCTTTATGAATATAATTTCTGATTAAAATAGTTTTGACAGTTTTAAGAATGATTATTTCTGTATTTTTGTATGTGTGTTATGATCATTTGGTTGGTTGGTTGGTTGCTTTATTGTACACCTCCATGGTCAATAAATTTGTCCTATCAAGAGTAACACAACCTTATCCAAAACAGGGCTTTTAGGTAGAACGGAGGAGAAGGAGGAGGCCTTTTTTCATCGTTATCACCATGACTTTTTTTTATATCTTGTTCCCATATAATTGCCATGCTGAAAGTTCCTAGCATGTGTGTTTTGTAGTAATCTTGACTAACAAAAGTATGAAAATATGCTTGCTGACTCCTCCCAAAATCCCATTTACCACCACCCCACATGCCATCATGAAACCAGCACAGTCAAGATTGACAAACAAACCTATTCCCTCATTAGCCTTATCTCAGAAGCTCTTTTGATCCTAGAGAAGACACTCAGTTCCATTCATCTCCTCACCCAACTGGAGACCTGTTGTTCTGCTATATTCTGCTTTCCTCCACCCTTGCCTCTTTTGTTTCCTATCTACCTTCTTTGTTGGTTTAAAGAGGGGAATATTCCTTGTAGTTCATGTACTACCAGTTGGGAAACAAAGATTTTGTTTATCCTTTCCTGTGATATTCTAAGAATTATTCAGTAAAAATAGGCTTGGCTAATCTCAATAAAATAGATTCAAGATGTAAGTGTTTGAATTATATTTATTGTAATAGGATTTTAATGTCATAACTTCAAAAAATTGTAGCTTGTCTTAAATACAAAAAGTTCACAAAATTAAAACAAACTGGTCACACTATTTGATGGGTCATCTGCTTTTAGTACCAGTTGCTGTGAAGAAGCTGAACACTCCAAAAATTATATATTTCTTTCGTGTACTCTGTTTACAAACATTTTTTATTCTATTAAATGTTCTTCTTTTTTTCTTTCAGCACCTAGAATTCCACCTAATAAAAGAATCTTTACAACCATCCATACACCAAGTTGCTTATTCCAAGAAGTAGATGAAAGGTGAATTAAAACTACCATGCTTAATGTTTTAAAAATGTTTTGCTGCCTTGTTTATAAAAATAATAATGTGCACATGTTATAATAATACATGGATTTATGTTGTTGGTTTTTGTCAAATTATGAAGAAAAAAGTTCTGCATAAAATAAAAAAAATTGAAATATAATTCCTCCCTTTCAGAATGATTTTGTTCCTCTTTTCTCTCCGTTACTAATAGCAGAAATTCATCATTAAATTCTGAATGAAAACCTTGCATTATAAAAATTAAAGCAGCATTCCCCAATCTTTGTGTGGCTTAAGCCCGACAAGGGGGAGAGGGGAACGGGGCTACGTGAGCAGTGAGCTTGTGTGCAGCTCAATTTGCACAAGTTGAGCGTGCGTGTGTGCAGTGCACACTGGCCTGCCACTTACACAAGTCGAGCTGCACGTTTGCACATCAGTCCACTGTTTGTGTGGCCCAGTTGCAAATAGCCCATGGCCCAGTAGTGGGTCACAGTCCGGGGGTTGGGGACTCCTAGATTAAAGGACAGCATAGTTATTTCATACTGCTACCTGAGTTTTATAACCTTATATATCATATAGATAACTTTTATAAAGAGAAAAATATAATTATTTTTCCCATTGTTTTGTAAATTTAAATGTGACATAAATTCCAGATATGCTGTACCTATTTTTATTTTATTTCAGTTGAAATTAAATTGATGTACTATATATGTAAAATGTGTTCTGCTCTATTTTTATTCAAATTCTTTTTTAAGAGCTGTTCCTCTGTTGGGATACTTACCTCAGGACTTAATTGGAACTCCTGTTTTACTACATCTTCATCCAAGTGACAGAGCATTAATGCTAACAATTCACAAAAAAAGTACGTTTTTCTATTTTTGCTTTTCATGAAGGGTGGGAAGTAAAAAATGAAAAAAGCAAATGCAATAAAGCATAAGGGATGTTCATGGCGTTTTAAAAAATATTTAACAGATTGATCTCCTGATTAAATTTTGATTACTTACTCTCTCCACTCCACTCTCTTCTTCTGTCTTGTTTATTTGTAGATTCAAGTATCTGAGCAAAGGTACCATTTTTTCTATTTTAATCACATTGGTGACAGAGAATAGATGAAGCAATAATTAGATCCACTGATATAAAAATATAAAAATTTGACCATGACACCCAAAGAACATGATACCTAAAAATTCAAAATTGAGATGTGTATGTGTATACTTATTACTAATATTATTCCATTAAGATTTGAGGTTGTTCACAGTCTCAAAGGAAATGTCTTCTGTACCTGTACAGAAACATTCAGAGAGGAGTATCTGTGAATCAACTATGCTAGACCTTCAGAGAATCTGACAGCTTTAACACTATGAAGAACGATACTTTGTAAAGCATCTTTGTAAATACAGCCATATTTTCAAGTATTGAAGTATATATGCAAAATAGCATATATGTATATTAATATCTAATTGTCAATTCCTCAATAGCCTCAGTCTAATTTCTTTCAGATAAAATTTCAAATATTTGACTATTTAAAACATTATAAATGTTGTTAGCATATTGTAGAAGAATTTAATACAGCCTTCTGATTGCTCCAAGTCTATATTTAGTCTAAAATTTAGAATCTTGAATTTAAATGTGTAAATATGATCATTGCCCATTTTCAACATTGCAGAGACAAAAGTTAATTTTACATTTTCATGTCAGCAGTTCTTTTCATCGTCCTTTGAGCTAAAATCAAATTAGATAATTCATGCTGAGTCTCAAGTTCAAAGAGCTTTTTTCATAAACTGTTAGTAGCAAGCAAATAATTTCTTCTTTAATATTTACAAGTTAAGTAGTTTTATAGTGTGCTACTGATTTTCAAAAGATCACTTTCCTCTATTTCTTTATCATTAAAGCTTGCATGATCTTTTTTTTTACAGTACTTCAGTATGGCGGACAACCATTTGATTATTCACCAATCAGATTTTGTACTAGAAATGGTGAATATGTAACTCTGGATACAAGCTGGTCCAGTTTCATCAATCCTTGGAGTCGAAAGATTACATTCATAATTGGAAGACACAAAGTTAGAACGTAAGAAATTAGTGTCAGTAAAGCAAGAATTCATGAGATGAATTGTTTGCAAGAGGTCTCCTTACATTAGAATGTACCAAAATTTTAATTATACAATTAAAGAAATCCTCTGTGTAAAAGGATAATTCCCTCCTCTTTCTTAGTTCTGTAGAACAGATGTAGGCTTCACAGTGCCAGATTGGATATGATTGGCTCTTTACATATATAGTTTGCCTAAATTTTACATATATAGCTTACCTAAATGTTAAAAGATAATAACAATAAATAACAAAGAAAAACCCTAGTGTTTACTTTTATCAAGGGATTATTTATTTTCATGTTGTGATGTGGTACCAGTCAAAGATTAGGTCTCCTGGAGAACTTTTTTGTCAGTGTAAAGGCTGGTACCAGGAAAGGTTAGTCCAAATTGGTAAGACAGTAAAAAAGTTCTCCTTATCCCCTTTCCTTAAAACAAGGTCCAGATTAGTCTATTTTAGAAAAGCTGTTGTGAGTTGTATGATTGGCATCTTACACAAGTTTGCCCACATTTTCACCATGGATGCCAATGCAGACTATATCCAATATAGGTTATTCGGGTACTGTTTATACAGTATAGTATTCCTTCAAATCTACACTAAAGAGGCTTTAATGATTCCCTTATGGGAATTGAATTATGTAATTGAACAAGCTCATTGGTTATACAATGTAGTCTAATCATTTCACACAAACCATAGGTCACTTTTGAAATCATGGTTTGGATGTCATCTTGTACAAGGTTTCTCAGCTTTCTTTTTTCAGTGATATATATGATATATGGGTAGTATATGGATAAATTTAGAATTTTAGATATTCTAGCTTATGTTCATTTAGTAATCATGAATATCTTTTGGAAAGTCAAAATGTCAAATTAAGGTAGTGGTACTGATTTGCATGTGTATTTTAGAAATTACTTCTTTGATAAATGGGGAGCTAACAACTACATTTAAATTTGCATGTGTTGAATACTAAATGTTTATAAGAAACTTACAATTGTCCCAAATCTTTCAAGTCTTGTCAAGAGTTGCTTCAGATTACATAAATAAAGTCATGTTTCGAGAATCTAAGCCTGAATATTTGATCAGTTTAAATGTTTATAGATGTAAGAGAAAAAATAGATGATAGATAACTGAAATAAATAAACTTGTTATTATATATTATTAATGATTTTTAGGAGCCCTTTGAATGAAGATGTATTTGTACCTCAGCACACAGAAGAAAAAATGCAACATCCTAATATTGAAGAAATTACAGAGCAGATACATAAGCTATTACTACAAGTATGATATTTATTTATTATACATTTATATACAGATACACATACAAACATGTGAGAAGCAGATAATCTTGGGCTACGATGGCAGTTTGATCAGAATTGCCATCGCTAAGCAATGCACTTGTAAGGCATGAAGTCACATGACACTGTCATGATGTGATAATGGTCCTTATTGCCATCATAACTCCCAAGACTCATGTGGGCTTATGGAAGAAGCAGCAGGGAAGGTAGAGCCTGTGGACAAATAGGGTGGTGCTGCAAGGGGCATGAAACATGGAGTGTGGGCAGGTAGAAGTGATCCCTAGGATCTCACATTCTGTAGTGGGGCTCCTCAAGATAAAGTGAAGGGAGTGATTTATTGACCTTCTCTGCTCATTTCCACATTGACTTTGCTTGTGGGAAGCCAGGAAGGAAGGTTGCAAATGGTGATTACATGACACAGCTCACTGCAACTTCATGATTACAAGCCAAGCATCTGACAACCCAGATTTAATTCATGACTGCAGGCATGCTGTGATAGACAAATCTTTGAGAACTGGTCATAAGTCCATTTTAGGACCACTGTAACTTTGAACAGTTATTGAACAAATGGATGAAAGCTGAGGACTACCTATATACACACAGACACAAAAACAAATATATGAACGGTGTAACTAGTACCTTCAAAATATTGAAAATTTTGCAAATGGAATTCTGCTTTTGGTGTTTTTAAATATCTGAACACACTTGTAAGTGGATCATAAGCTTCCTAACAGACAGGAAGCAGCAGGTGAAGCTAGGCGGAATCACATCCGATACCTGTACAATCAGCACAGGCCCCCCCCAAGGCTGTGTGCTATCTCCACTTCTCTTCTCCCTATATACCAATGACTGCATCTCAACAATCCATCTGTTAAAATACTGAAGTTTGCCGATGACACAACAGTGATTGGTCTCATTCGAGACAACAATAAATCTGCATACAGACAGGAGGTTATACAACTTGCCTCGTGGTGTAACCGGAACAATCTGGAACTGAGCACACTCAAAACTGTAGAAATGGTGGTAGACTTTAGAAGAAACCCTCCCATACTACTTCCTCTTACAATACTAGACAACATAGTATCAACAGTAGAGACCTTCAAATTTCTAGGTACTACTATATCACATGACCTAAAATGGACATCTAACATCAAAAACATCATCAAAAAAGCACAACAAAGAATGTTCTTTCTGCGCCAACTCAGAAAGCTCAAACTGCCCAAGGAGCTGCTGATACAGTTCTATAGAGGAATTATTGAGTCTATCATCTGCACCTCTATAACTGTCTGGTTTGGTTCTGCAACCCAACAGGACAGACACAGACTTCAGAGGATAATTAGGACTTCAGAAAAAACAATTACTGCCCACCTGCCTTCAATCGAGGACCTGTATACTGCACGAGTCAAAAAGAGGGCTGTGAAAATATTTACAGACCCCTCACATCCCGGACATAAACTGTTTCAACTCCTTTCCTCAAAATGACGCTATAGAGCACTGCACACCAGAACAACTAGACACAATAACAGTTTTTTCCCGAAAGCCATCACTCTGCTAAACAAATAATTCCCTCAACACTGTTCAACTATTTACAAAGTGTACACTACTATTACTGTTAATCATCTAATCACTCCTTATTACCCAGCCCCTCCCACTTGTGATTGTAGGACTGTAACTTTGTTGCTTGTATCCTTACAATTTATATTGACTGTTTCCTAGTATGATTTGATTGTTGATTGTACCCTATGACTATCATTAAGTGTTGTACATTATGATTCTTGATTCTTAATGAGTGTACCTTTTCTTTATGTATACTGAGAGTATTTATACCAAGACAAATTCCTTGTGTGTCCAATCACACTTGGCCAATAAAGTATTCTATTCTATTCTATTCTACTCTACTCTACTCTACTCTACTCTACTCTATTCCTTATTGTGTGCTCAACCCACCTCACAGGTTTATTATTGTGAGAAAATGGGAGGGGGAAAGTATGTTGGCTATGTTCTCTAACTTGAGTTATTTATGAAAATAATAAAGGAGGGGTGCAAATAAATAAGGTTTCTGACTAGAAATGTCCTTCATTATTACAATATATATCTATATTTTTAGCCTATATATAATAGTGGCTCTAGTGGCTATGGAAGTTTGGGCAGCAATGGATCACATGAGCACCTAATGAGTGTGGCTTCATCCAGTGACAGCAATGGGAACAATGAAGATACTCAGAAGATACAGAAAACGGTAAGTTTGGCATTGTATTCTATTAATATTTTCAATCTAATGAGAAAAAAAGTAATGGTGGTTTTTCTTATAAATGTGAGCCAATTAAACAATTTGTAATTAATTACTCCAAATAAAATGCATCAAGTATGGTTTAAAGACTGTTTGTTTCTTCTTGATTCTAGAATTCTTCTCAAAATATTTGTAAAAATGGAAGTGTGGACAGAACTCATGCCTTCTTTAATTCTAGATTAAAGCTTGAAAATCAGAAGAAATCTTACAGAGGTAATTTAAAGTTAATTTAAAGAAATTACTATCAGTTATTTTAGCTATATCTTAAATTATTTTTACTTTTGGTCAAATGCACTCAATCCAACCCCCACTAACGGTAATCATTTAGTGTGGTATTTCCTATATCTTAGATAGCAATAGCATTTAGGCTTACATACTACCCCCATAACACTTCACAGCGCTCTCTGGGAAGTTTACAATGTGGAAGCATTATTAGCATATTGTCCCCAACAATCTGGGTCCTTATTTTAAAAATTTGGTAGAATGGAAGGCTGAGTCAACTTCGAGCCCTGTCAACATCAAACTCCAGACTGTGGGCATCGGGTGCCTGTAATACTGTTACTTTCATCCCTACACCACCAGATCTTGAGTTGCCTATGTTCTTAGGCTTGATTTTATCAGTTTCCTGACTCTAGAATTTGATTATGGAAGAAAAACCAAATAAACCTCTGTATTATTTTTATTTTGGCGTTACTCAGAGAAACCCACTGACTACCATGATCATACCAATAGTACCACTCAACTGTTTGAAAATGATGGCATTGGGACTGCTTGTCAAAGGAGTCTAGTTGCAAAAGAATCAACTTGGGGAGAACAAATGACATATTCATATCAAGAGATCAACTGTTTAGATAATGTTATCAGGTAAACAATAATGTATTTCACTGCATTACTGATGTGTATATGTGTGCACTTTTTAAACTGACTGTTTTTAAGTTTTAAAGTTGTTTTTTCTTGTAGATACTTGGAAAGTTGCTGTGCAGTTGACACTATGCAGAAAATGATTCACCCTACACCATATACTGATGTAGCACTGAATACTGATATACATAGAGAGAAAATTAATGCTGATACAACAAAAGCATTCACAGGTATTGGAGACATTGTTTATGGATTTCAGAGAGAGGTCTTATGCACATTTATCTTCAACTAATCTTACCCAAGTGTGTTTAGGATGCAGCTTCCATTTGGGCAACATTCAGTCTTATAACATGCTGAGCCATACAATGCAAGTAAAGCAGTCTCTTTAAGAAATAGTCCAACTTTTTTTCTTTAGCCATGATAATATTTAGACTATGAGTTAACCAGCAAGAACAAGCAACAATGAAGCAGGGAAACTTGTGATATATTCATGTTGCTGGTAATTGTCTGTTCTGTATTGGGTTTCTCAAAGACCAGAGAGTGTGGTAGGAAAAAAGAATACAATTTTCAACAAACAAAATTTGAACATTTTGATTTAATGCCAGTCTTAGAAATATATTTACCATTTATACCAGTATTGTGTAGTTGTTTGTTAATTAAGCATTTAGTACAGTATGTTTATAAACAAATTGGTTTACAGTTCATGGGCATTTAAATAATCTAAATATTGAAATTAAGAGGAAAATAATTCATGTTCTTGTGCTCATTCAGAAACATTTCTTAAAAAGGTATTTTCTTTCATTATAAAGTACTTGGAAATTAAATTGAAAAACAATACTAGTATTTTATTCCTCTGTACAAGTCAGCAGGAATGACAATTCAATGATTTAGTCTTGATGACAATAATGGAAACTTTTATCAATGAAAACATATTTACAAGCTCATGAAATGAAAATATGAACACACCTAGTTTTAAAATTTTCTGGGAAGCTGGAAAACTACACTGTATAAAATCTTTCTGAATCTGTATCATATTTTTGACTTCTCAAAAATTTGCTGCTTCTCAGTCTAGTAGACAGTTTCACCTGTCATGTTTTATTTGTTTGAAAAAATTGCATTTATTCTTTTTATTCTTTTCTCTTTGTGTACATGGTGTGTTTATGTTGTTACTGAAAAGAAAGGGGACAGTCAAAAACTCACATAGGTCCTGCAGTGTTGGAAACATCTGACACATCCAATGCTTCAGCTCTTATGGATGCTCATTTAACTTCTTTGACTTTTCCTGGACAACCTGAAAGTGTAATATCTTTTGTCAGTCAATGCAGCTACAGCAGCACCATAGTTCATGTTGGAGATAAAAAAACACAGCCCGAATTAGGTATAGTACCACTTTTGTTATCAGGCAGAATATGACTATGTTCTCTAGAATAAATGTAGGAAGTTTATTTAGATATTTAATTGTAATAATTATGTGCTCTTTTTCCTATATAAACTTGGGCAGACTATTCTAGACATTTACATTTAACATGTTTACAAGCTTTTAATAACATTTAAAAATTCCTATATGTCTGTCTTCAATTTATTTTTAGAAATAATAGAAGACAATCTATCTGGGATAAAATCCACAGACAATCAAACTATTTTTCTACAATCTAACAGTTCAGAAGAGAACAAGGGAAAAGTTATGTTTAAGAAATTGGGCCTTACAAAGGATAGCCTTGCAATACATACTCAAAAAGAAGAGTGGAGTTTTCTGAATAAGTGTAAAGAAATAAAAAGATTCCATATTTTTAAGTGTGCTTGCAATTGCTACTTTCAGAAAAAACCCAAAGGATACCCAGAGGAACATGGTATGTTTTTTTAATAATTACTGTTAATTTGTTTAAGACTTGTGTGTATAGTTCAGTACAAATGTAAATATGTGGTGTATTATATGCTCTTCCAAAGATCAGCACTGTATCTCAGATCTATGAGCCAGCATGCGAGTTAGGGAACTGAAGTCCACGCATCAAAGTTGCTAAGTTTGAAAAACACTGTTAGCCAAAAGAATGAGAAATTAAGTTAGCATTTTCAAATATGTGTAACTTTCCAATTCCTCCAAATCTAAGAGTGTGATTTGTCACTTTGTATGCAAATGAGTATGATTTCTTCCTACATTTATTTTATTTATGCAGATTGCAGATTTAGAATAGCTTCTGAAAATGGAAGAATTTAAAAAGTGTCATAACAAGGTATTTAAATAGAACCAAATTTGTTAAAGCTTAAAATATTTCAGGACCTGGCAACAATAAAAACTACTGAATTTTTCACCTCTGCAGCTAGTAGAGAATTTTAAAGTGTCTTCTAAAACAAGGATCCCCAACTCTTGGGCCAGAAACTGGGCTGCACAAATTAGCAAAGCCTCATCTGCACATGTGCAGGATCAGGCAGCGCATGAAACAGTGCCTCCCTGGTCCACAGAAAAGCTCTCTCGGTAGAACTGGTCCTGGCACTGAAAAGGTTGGGGGCTGCGGTTCTAGAAAGAGACAATTAAGTGTGGTCTAAAAATTAGGAGATAGTGAGTTCTAATCCTGCTTTAGGCATAAAAATACTGGATGGTGAATTACTCTCTCTCAGCCCAACTCACTTCATAAGGTTCTTGTTGTGGGGAAAACAGGAGTATTGGCTCCTTTGAGTTGTATATGAAAAGAAAGGCCGGATAAAAATTATTTTAAAGAATAGAGTCAAAACAGATACAATTAAATAACTTCTCTTTCTAGATATGTGTGGATTACACCATGGTTGTGGAATAGATTTATCTTGGAAGAAAATTGGGAGGATCAAGAAATCTAAACAAAAACGACACAAGCAACATGATTCTTCAGACAGTAAAACATCTGGTTCCCAACCCTTGCATAAATTTCTTCGGCTTATCCCAAATGGTGCAGATTGTTCTCCATCAAAAAATTCACAAGCAAGTCATCCAACTGTGCCAGTTTCAACAATTATGCCCACAGTTTTTCCATCTACAGGAATCACGCCATCGGGTCCTGAAGTTTCGCTATCTTATTTTAATGAAACACAGGATTTCAAAAAACATTGTCCTCTGCCATTAACTGAGCTTGTTCCTCCCTTAATGACTCCAGTAGTAGCACTTGTTCTCCCTAACTCTATATGTCCTCAGACACACAATAGTATTCCTCAGACATCTTGTCTTGGGCCATCTGGTATTTCTGTTCAGCCTTCTTTCTCTTCACAAACTTTGCTTACAACACCTCCTTCATTTGCTACCTCAAACAATGTGCCTCCTGAGGCACATTTTTCCACGCAACCATTTTGTTATAATTCTCTAGCATATAGTGAAAAGAATCCTGTTGTAGAATGCCAAAATAAGCTGTCCCATTCCTGTACACCAGAGTCCCTGGGTCTACAAGATCAGTCCTCAACGTTGTTCCAGTCACGATGCAGTTCTCCTTTACAGTTGAATCTTCTGCAATTGGAAGAAATGCCAAAAACGTTAACAAATGGAAGTGTTGCTATAGAGGAAAAATATGAGACTTTAACTGATGGAGAGATTGCAAATAAACAATTAAGCAGTAATGATAAAAGAAAAGCATCTTGTTCTGTAAGCATTACTTATATTTACCTATTTATTATGCATGTGAAAAATTCTTTAAAAATTGTCATTACATTTATTTAATAGAGATATTCCTTGACTTAAAACCACAATTGAGCCCAAAATTTATGTTGCCACGCAACACAATTAAGTGAATTTTGCTTCATTTTATGGTATTTCTTGCCACGGTTGTTACATCAATCACTGCAGTTGTTAAGTTTGTAACATGGTTGTTAAGTGAATCTGGTTTCCCCATTTACTATGTTTGTCAGAAGGTTACAAAAGGTGATTGCATGACCCCAAGATCCTTCATAAATACATACCAATTGCCTAGCATCCAAATTTTTATCGTGTGACTGTGGGGATGCTGCAACAGTCATAAGTTTGGAAAATGGATATGTCACTTTTTTCAGGGGTATTGTAAATTCGAAAGATCACTAAACAAATGGTTGTAAGGCAAGGACTACCTGTAGTCCATAGTATCTATAATTTCAGCTATAAAATATTTTCTTTAAGATCTAATTGTTTTAAAGGTATATAATCAAACCACAAATTGCAGTGTAAAAGCTCCTGTATTGCATTATTTTTTGTTAAAATTGGGAATCTTCATATTAGAAAATATTAACAGTTTTCAGTATGTTTACACAATAAAACTCACTATTCTTATTTGTCTGTTGAACCTATATTGCTGACAATTACATATTTCAGTGGACTTTATAGATCATGTAGCCCAAGTCTCTGTTTATTGTAGAAAATTTAGAACAATAGCACAGATTGTCCCAAAGGTGCTTTTCAAAAGGCAACTGGACTTTCTTGGGGTTTTTTTTCTAGAAAACATTCTAGAAACTTCATCATTCTGAGAATCTCCATAGATAATAGCACAGGTTGTTGCATGGTCTCTCTTAAACTTCCAGAAAAAGGCAGCCTATGACTCCTGTATAGAATGTATATTATTATGATTTAGATTAAATTCCTAACTAAACTATGCTTTTGTCCATAGTTGTAATAGTTGTCTTTTTTTTAATAGCACAATATCTCTCTTCCACTAATACAATTGCTTTGTGAACCTTATATAATGAGCTTAATCCCAATCCATTTACTGAAAATTAAAATTTCTTCCTTAAATATTTAAAGGGATACTGTTTTATTTTTGTTTGTTAAGGTTAACGCACCACTGGAACTTCAGAATAGTGATGCCTTTTCTTTATCTATTGACCTACTTGATTTACTTCAAGAAGACACAAATTCAGTCACTGGATCTGTTTCATCTGCAAGTTTTGCTTTAGCAGCTGCTGAGTCTTTAGATTCTGGATCAAGTGGATGTGATATATCAATCTGTGGAGCAGGTAATGTGGCACGTGCTGGTATTCTGGAGGCAGTTAAATGTGGAGAGAGAGGATCAGGCTTTATGAATGAAAGAGTTGTTTTTCCCTTCTCTAGGATGTAGTGAGACAAATCATGTCAGCAAGTATATTGGAAGTATTAACTCCTCAGAAAATAATCCTAAAACAAAATGTTCACAAATGGAAGATGTACAGTACACTAAAAGTGTTCTCCAGGATCCTCTCTGGCTCTTGATGGCAAAGGCAGATGATACTGTTATGATGACTTACCAGATTCCATCACGGTAATTTAGTTTTAACTTTGATTAAAGTTGCATAATACCTAAACTAATAACATTTCTGATTTCAATCATGTAAAAATGTATGTTAACTTCAGTGGCATCTACAGGCTCTTGCTACTTTTGCCAGAATGACCCCCTTGTCTCTACTTGGCCCCCATAGCCACCACTGGTTTAATTCACTTAAACCAAGTTTTGCTTTTGTGGGCAGAAGAGCAATGCCATCTTTCACTGATTTATAGAATTATTGAGTTGGAAGAAGCCATTTAGACCACTTAAGTCCAAATTAAGAATTTTTGATAGATAACTTTTTAGCTTCTCTTGGAATACATTCAATGAAGGGGAGATCACTATTCCTTCAGGATTAATTCCAGTATCAAATTGTTTGCCTGTTAAGAATTATTTAGTAACATTCAGTCAGAATTTGCATTCCTGCAAGTTAAAATCATCATACTGTGTCCTGCACTCTAGGATGATGGAGAACATGACTTGACCTTTGTAATATCTGTTTAAGAACTTTTAAATATTTCTTTCTTCAATTAGCTTTTCCTTAATGCTAAAAATATAATACCCAGTTCCTCCAAATGGCTCTTTAGAATAATCTTCTTTGAGATTGTTCCTAAAATTATAGAAGGTACATGAGATATCATGAGAACCCAACTAATAAATAATATAGTAGAAGTCTCATTTACCAGGACTGGAAAGTCTGCACTATTTGTATGACTAACTTCACATAAAAATAGTTTTTAATACTATATAGAATTAATACTATATAAAATACTATATTGAATTAGAATTATAATAGCAACCTTAAATTGATGCAATTAAAATTACATTTTCCTTTTTTTTTTTTTTGGCATCCACACCATGATATGACACATTCAGCTTATGATCAGCAATAATTGTAATATTTTTAATCACACATATAGTACTACCAAGCCAGGTATCTCTCTTATTTGAACCTTTTTCCTCAGGCAAATAACTTTGCATTTCTCTGTATCATATTTCATTCTGTTAGCTATTCTTTGAAATTCTATAGTATTATCCTATCCAATCTTATGTTATCTGAATATTTAAAAATATCCACTTCTCTATTCATAAGTATTTTGAATAGGTGCTTATAGTAAGAGAAATCAAAGTGCCTCTGGTTCATTTGTACCAAAGCCATGAATTTTATATAAGCAATATCTCTTGTTCCGACTTTCTCTTGCACTAGTAATGTGGAGGGCTCAAGCAACAGAGATATGACCTTTGACATTTTCTTTATTTCCTTTGAAAAAAAGGACATGCAAATCTACCTAATAATCTAAAAATAAGCTATAAGTGTTTGATCCACAGCCATAATGGCAGCATCCATGGAGACCTAATTGAATGGCTCTGGAAGTTTTATCAGTAATTATAAAGAAAAAACGTTTAGCCTACTTCTTTGCAATTTGGTGCAAATTTTCTACCATTAGAATTACATGTGGAATTTACAGTTAGGCACAAGAGAGCTTTATATATTCATCTTCTGCTCTGTTGCATAAGCCAACAAACATTACATTCTTAACTGCATCTTTTCTTTGTGCCATCGAAACAGAAGCAATTATTTCAGCCTATCGCTATCTTTTAAAAAAGAAAATTGATTTGGCAGTAATTGGGACTCTTTCAGCATATCCATATACAGCATGTTGGAAAGTTTGATATGAAATCTTACCATGCAACATGAATCATTCAGAGATCAAGAAAATAGAGAATTTCTTAACAATTGATTATATCCTGTGAACAGTTCCTATTTTGCCATCAGTACATCAGCAGAATATATAAATTGCCTTCTCTCCCAAATAGTGAACATTCACATGAATGTTGATAACAGATAATATAAGACTCAATTTTGGCTGTATACATCAAATAGTAGAATGTTTAGTCCAAAATTAAATTGTTTCTGTAACGTTTTGCCTGTGATTATTTGTAATGTTTATACATTTTGGCTATTTCAAGGCTAAAATGAAACTGTTTATACTGTATTTGCTTATGTTAGAAAATTGGAAACTGTTTTGAAAGATGACAAATTGAAACTGAAACAAATGCAGATGTTCCAGCCAATATTTACGGAGGACCAAAAAAGGGAGTTACTTGAAGTTCATCCATGGATTCATAAAGGTGAACTCCCTCAGGCTCTTGCAAATTCGGTATGTTTTAGAGAATTTTTTTAAATTTTAAGTATAAAAAATATTTTATTTATGGCTGTTATAATAATAAAGATATTTAGGTCACACTAGCATTGAAACATTTGAGTATACCACATTTATTTCTCTGTAAATCTGTAAGACCACCCATTTCACCAATGAAATTCTCGGCATGGAACATAGCATAAAAAAACATCAGTAATAGTAAAAAATAAAAAAGCCAGGTTGTGGCTCTCTCATTAAAAACACAGAACACTTATATTGTTGGCATACATCCATGCTAATTCCCAAATTATCATCATGGTCCCAATGCCTGAGGGAAGAGCCAGTTCTTCACAGCCTTCCAAAATATAAGGTTGGGGTTATCTATAACTCTGGGGAATCCTGTTCCATGGGGCAGGTGCCATAAGATGAAAGCCCACTTCCTGGGACTCAGTAGGTGACTCCTCCTTACTGAGGAAACCTGCCATTTGCCCTCTTTGTCTGATCATGTCGACAGCCATAGACCCTTGGGGGAAGGTAATGCTACATGTAATCTGACCAAATGCCATGCGGATGACCGCCTCCTTGAACTGTATGTTGAACTGTTGGGAAGCAATGTAGGTCCCATCACAATGGTGTTATGTGGGCATACGATGGTACACCTAAAACTGATTCTGCTGCCACGTTCTTTACTAGCTGAAGTTTCAAATGCCCTTCAAGGGTACCTATGTATAGATTATGTTACAATAGTCCAACCAGAAGGAGACTAACAGTAGAATTTAATCTCAATGTATTCAATTCAGGTTACCCCAACCAATTGTTTTAATGCACACTCTCTTATGGGCACAACCAAATATTTCTAAGTGGAAGATTCCAGTTGATTAAGATTAAAGTTGATTCAAAGTTATTATTCCCTTTTTCTTTTGAAGCTTTGTGTTAATTGTGAAGAAAATAGCTGACCTTACATACAAAATGAAGGAAAAATTGATGAAATGAAGCTTAATGAATGAGGTGGTGAGAATAGTTCGCTCATCCTGAACCAATTCAACAGTCACAATGTGTAATGAAAATAATTTCAAAATCATCTGCTTCCAACTAAGGCAAATGCATCACTTGATCTTAAAGGTTAAGTTTGTTTCTTGTGAAATGAATCTCATTACAAACAAATGGATTTTTTGTTCTAAAAAAAGATCATTTGTTAACAATCTCTTTATGGGGGCATGTCTTTCTATTACTGTGAACAATTTCTGAAAATGATTGTTTGCATTTAATCTTTTCAATTTTAAATGTTTACATTTAAAGTTATAGTGTATTAAAATTATAGAAAATACTACTAAAACGTCACTGGTTTCTATAAAAAAATATAAAAAAACACCATGCATCCTAACATTTCTTTCCTGTCTTTTTTTTCCTATAATATCAACTATATATTTCCACTTTTGAAATATTTTAAATGATTTTGAAATTAATAGTTAGTAGATCAAATATTTTACAAGTATTTCAGTTATAAAATAACTCCACTGTTAACCATTAAATACATTTTGATTTACTGCTATGTTTTAAATGCAATAACAGTAGCTTATTCTTCTGTAATCTCCACATCTGAAGGAGAAAAATTTTTCAGGTCAGAAAATAATACATGTTTGTAATAATGTGATTTTAATTGTTGCATTTTGTATTTGGTAAATATTATAATTTGTTCCATTGTTCCATTTGTCACTTTTGTTTTAGAAACATATTTCTCTATATAACTGTAAAAATATGGTAATGCCTCAGAATGAATTTTTATGTCCTTTCTTTTAAGTCACAGGTCACTTTTAAAGTCATATTCTATACTGAAATAATTACCCAGCAAGGAGAATCTAATCTTAACATTGACAATAATTTCTTAAGTGTGATAACAGAATATTGTATTTATTGTAAAGGAATGTCACACAGTAAATCCCATTATACTAATCATTGTTAATTGCCTTGTTTGCTTTGTGTGAGACTCAAGTATTTTTTTTTTGTAAATTTTATTTGAGTTTTCACAAATAGAAAAAAAATACAAATAAAACAATTTTTTTGAAAGTAGCGTAATCCCAGGTTACATTTCTTCGTACAGACACAAATTCAGGTTCATGCTCATTTTTATATTCTATTCCATATCTTATTACTATTTTACATTTTCTGCATAGCTTCTCCCCTCTTTTAATTTTCTCAAGTTTATTTTAATTATCTCATCTCAATTCAAATCATTGTATTTATATTTTTTGTCTGTCCTGTTTCAATTATATTATCTTTTCTCATTAAACAAAATTTCTCCTGTACTTACTGATTGGAGTATGACGCCTTTATATCTTTCCCTAAAGTTGTAACATTCAATATAATACATAACTTTCATTCGGATTCTGCTTGGTACATTCTTAAAAAACACACTGTATTCTTAAGTCTCTTAAGTTGTCAGTATAGGGAAGGAGAGAGAAGAAAAAAAAAGCCAAACCTTTCCCTTTTCACTTTCCTTCGCTGCTTCTGACTCTTCTTTGGGAGCGATGTTATTTTTTGTAAGTTTAAATTCCAGGGTACCTTAGTTATTGCTTTTGCAATTTAACCCGGTCAGCCAAAACTTTCACTTCTTATCTTCCTCCTGCACATTCTTTTCTGGTCGAATTCTCCTTTGTGGTGGCCATTTCTGACCACCGCTGCAACCGCCTTTGGGAAAGGGAGGAATGGCCAGCTGAGGAGGAGAGATGCAGCTCTCCTCAACCCAGCTGGCAGTCTCCCCCCTCTTCACCACCTCTATGGGGTGGCTTAGCCCCGAAACCAGCTGGCTCGGGGCGCTCCAGCAGCGAGCCCAGACAGAAACCGTGCACAATCGCGGATTTCTGTCTGTCGCCGAAGCCCTTCAAACCGGAAGTCCTCAAGTAATTTTAATCAACTGGATTACATCCAGTATACTCTCTCTCCTGATTCTTTAGTCATAGAATGAACAGCAGTACTATTTTTTTTGTAGTGTGAAGAATGTTAAATTACTGCTTCTGTCACTATGTTTAGTCCATCTAATTTTGAATTTTCTATTTCAAAAGTTTGATCCAAAGATTCTGCAATAGCATGTTGTCCCAATATTATTCCTGAATAACATAGATGATTATTTCCAGAGTCAATTAACTATTCATTCAAAGAAATCTGACTATTCACTTTTTAGCTTCTCTTCACCCAGGCTTCCAAGATCTTTCCCACATACCTTTACGCTTTTCTTAGAACATTTTTATTAGTTTATAATGTAACATACAAAGAAAATACAAAAGTGAATAGTAGGGAAAATAGGGAAGGGAAAAGTGAGGGAAGGAAAAAAAAACATTGACTTCTGGCTCCTTTTGGTTCAGTAGAATAAGGCATTAATATCAACCCCCCACTTTTTACTTTTATATAATAGTATAAGCTAGCTACTTATATAAGAACAAATTTATCTAATCAGTAAAATCTAAAATCAAATTTTCATTTTTTTCTACCTCAAGCACAAAGTCCAGAAGTGGAACTTTGTCCAGAAGTCCAGAGGTTTCTAGTAAAAATAAAGTATTTGTATTTTTTTTTTCTTTGATCAAAACAGTCAATTTAGCCAAGTCTAACTCCAGCAGCCATTCATCCATTGTGGGGATAGAGGTGACTTTCCATTTTTGTGCATAAAATAGTCTTGCTGCCACATACTATTACACTTTAAAGGTGACAACCAGCACCATTAACTTTCTTCCAGAAGCACAGTGGCAAATAATATAGTGGTGTTGCATGCATCAACACTTGAGCCACACTTACCTGTTCTGTCATATTCTGAAACTTCCAGCTGTTCTTCAAGGGCAACCCCATGTAGAGTGCATTGCCAGATGATATGTGGTCCGGATGGGATATCACAGGGGCATGAGTGATAACGAACTAGGGTTTCCTGGTCCAGGAAGGTGAAAGGTGCACAGCTCTTGCTCAAAAGTCAGAAACTGAAAGGTGCATAGCTCCAGTCACGTGACCACAAAACCACACCTACCAGGTAATGTGACCAGCAAGCCATGCCCACCTAGTCACATGACCAGCAAGCCACATCCTCAAATTAGGCCACACCCACAGAAATTTGAATCCCAACCTTGGGTGGGGGGTACTGACGATGAGTTTGTAGCACCAAGAGGGCAGTGGACTGAAAAAGTTTGGGAACCAAAATATAGATAACCAAAACCAAAAGTTTGGGAACCAAATATTCTATAGAATATTACTGAAACTCATATGTCTTTTAATTAGCTCTCTGTCTATCTCCATAAGAGTATACAGGTGTCCCTTTTTTTGAAATACCACTTTTTAAAATAATTACATTTCATATTTTACTTGTGAAGTATTCACAAAAAATATGAAAGACATTACAGACCTACTGTAGTTGAAGATAATGCATTTGCATATAATACACACGAAAGTATGAAACTTATTTTCAGGTGAAAAGGCTGTATACCTAATACATACTCTGTGATACGATATCAATTATAAATAAATTACAAGCCTATGGTATATTTGATTTATGGCTTGAATGGGTTTGGAGAGCATCCTAGGTGTGATTCTAATCATGATATCTACAGAGAAGCCTATTTCTCAATATATATTTCTCCTAGTCCTGTCTTCTATACAGTATAAAACACTGTTTCTCAACCTTGGCAACTTGAAGAGATGTCACCTTCAACTTCCAGAATTCCCCACCAAGCAAGGCTGGCGAGGGAATTCTGGGAGTTGAAGTCCACACCTTTTCAAGTTGTGAAGGCTGAGAAACACTGGAGTATAAAATATGTATTTAAAATCAATGACAGCCATATTTTGTTTTGGGAATATATTAAACTATATTGTGGTTTTCTAAAATCTGTGAAATAAATTAGGCATTCTTTAATCAAATTCCTTAACCCTGATTGGTTATAAACTAAATTATCTTAGCTATGGTCAGTGTGTTGTCAAAATACACTCCAATAAAAGAAGCTCTGTTTTTTTTCTGAACTCTTTTTTACTCCTTCTGGATATGCAAAAGCTTCTTTGTGTGCACAAAATTACTAAGGGGAAAAGAACCTTAGCCATAAGTAATGTATCCATAATTAAGTCACCACAAACTTTTCTATTATTTGCAAAAGCCTGTCTTCTTCTTTAACCAACCAAAAAGTGTAAGATTGCTGGATGTCTGGGTTTGGTAGAACCGGATAATTTGATCATTTGGAACATAATTGGGCTAGTTCCCTATTTGCAAACTGTCTTTTGCATACTGAGATCCTTTATTTTGGAGCCAAATGTAAAGAAAAAAATGGTCTGTAAATAATAATACCAGTACATTTGACTGGTTTTATCCATGTATAAACCATCCTTACCCAATGTAAAGATGTGTGCACTAACTTTTTGGGCTATGTGGAGGCATCTGTCTTTTTTGAGCTATGATACAGAACTGGTTTGCCTTCAGCAAATGATGTACCGCATCCATATCTCACAAACATAACATTGTTATGAATTCTGCGTCTCCCACCCATTAATATGCCAGTTTAGTGCCCTGTGTCTCCCCATTTTCCTGAAAGGCTGACCATTTGTTGTTGTTTTAGTGAAAAGGAAGGATTGCTCTTTTAGAATTCATTGTTATTTGGACTTCTGCACTTCTGTATTTCCTAAAGTGTCCCATAACTTTTACTCCAATTCTAATTATACTTGATCAGTATAAAATGAGGAAATAACATCAAGGCTATGTTATTAGATGCTTCAATAACTTTTTATTTTTAAAGAATGGGCTTGAAGTACATCCTAAAATGTTTTTCTTTCAACTGTGAGTTGCATTTGCTCGCCCAGCTGATATTTAAGCAGCGGTAACTGCAGTGATGTTGAGCGGAGGGTTGTAAATGATATGTGAATATTGAGCAGATGGCTTTGGTTGGCACCATCCAGATTTTCCATTCTGAAATTGCCTGCAGGAAGAAGACCACAAAATTAATTGCTGCTACTTGTGATTCTCGAAAGTGACACTGAGGGAAGAGATTCACAACGGTCTGCATTTATATCTCTAGGAAGAACTATAGAAAATGGGGGAGGGGAAATAAAAGATACATACCATGGAGATAAAGTGATACTATAGAATCTCTATTCATTTCAGTAGGGCTCAAGTAGACCAGCCCAATGGATTATATTTTCTATCCTGCTTAATTTATTTTTTGTCCAAATTTTTAAAAGACAATCGAGTGGGGGATTTAAAAAATTGCATTAATCAACACTTTTGTTTATGTGGAAGTCACCCACCCTTTCAATTCTTTCTTTTCTGGCAGAAGTGCTGCTAGAAATGCAGACTTAAAGCTTGATTTCATTTGTTTCTAAACACATTATGCTGTAACATGGCAAACTACTGAAAAGGCATAGTATAAAGAACATGCTGAGACTTCCCCCAAAGCAGCAGCTGGAGCCACGTATGCTGCAGTTGCTTTCTGAGACGGTTTTGTTCCATCTCTATTATCTCTCTGCACTGCTTGCTGGTTTTGTGCACTGAAGGCCATATGTTCCATCTGCTCGACCCAGACACTCCGTTGGCAAGAGGAATGGATGCATACCCAGGCATCTGATTTTATATCAACGAAACCCCCAGTTTCACTGAAACTCCACCTCTCTGCAAGAAAAACTGTTTACGGTTTTGTTCTGAAAGCTGGGAGGCTTGTTGTAAAAAAAATGCATTTAAATGTTGTAAGGAAGCAGTCCCTGAGATCTGCAAAAAAGACAGCACTGAAGTACAATGGCAATTTCATTTCTAGGGCCAGGTTACTTTAGGCAAATTGGTCCTGATCATAACATGTTTTCTTTATACCGTAAAAGTTTTATTTTTGTTGTAATAATTAGTTGGTATTCCAGACCTTGAAATACTTTATCAAATGAAATTCCAAACAAATCAGGCAATTTGGAGGGGGGGGGGATTCTA